GATACTTCCTAATATTTTATTTTGTGCAATATGGAATATTTGAAGAGAAGAAGACAGGTTTCCTAAGCATTGAGGTAACGTGCCCCCAAACTTGTCGGTAACCATTTCGAGAAATTCTTGACCCAAAAAAATAAAAAATAAAAAATAAAAAAAACATTTCCAGAAATTCTAAATGGGCGGCATTAGGGATTGGCAAATACTCATTGGTTATGAGTAATCGCGGTTACCCGCCCATTTAAATTAAACGATTATGGTTATAGGTAACCGTTTAGATAAATAAACGGTTATGGGTATAACCGTTTACCCGCGAAATTTAAATGGGCGGTTATGGGCATTAACCGTGGTTATAAACAGGTAATTGTTTATCCATTTATTTTATATATGTAAAATTAACACAAATCATGTTCTCGATCCAATAATACTTAGCACCCAATAAATTAGCAAGGAATTCATCGGTCCTTCTCTCAATAACACTACTACAGGAATGATGATTCTCATCATCAAGGAATTCGCCAAATTAATTTAAATTCCTTGCGAGTAACCATGAAATTGACAGAAATGCTTTGACAGAAATGTCTTCTAAACAATTTTTGTAACCCAATAATACTTACCAAATATTATATTTACCTTCATTGGTAACAGTTAAAAATATTGTCCTTAAACTATTATTTCAATTATTAGAATTGTATAAGGACTTAAAAAATTAAAATACGGAAATGTATGATGAATGTACCTATAACGGTGTTTAATTATTAAAAAAAAAAAGAAAATTATGAAATTTTTTTTTAATTTTCAAGTTGTTAAAAAACACGTAGATGGGGTATGGATATAACCGTTTAGGCAATTACACAACCAGTAAACGGTTATGCACGTATGAGCATAAACAGTTATGGGTAAATAACCGCGGTTACTCGCCCACCATAACCGTTGCCCACCGTGGCATTGCTCAAATCACAGAGAAAGGTCGAGTCGTCAATTCCCCCACTTTTGAGATGGTTGTTAGCAAGGATTAACCACTCAAGCTTATGCAAATCTGTCAAAGGAGGGACCTTTTCACGCGATGATGGTGGGTGATTTGGTCCTGCGTGTAGGATGAGTCCCCTTAACTTTACATGGTTGTTGATTTGTGGATCTTTTACGTGTGACTCACTAATTGGGTCTTATGTGAGGAAGCGTGTTGAAATGTCCTACGTTGACCTTATCAATGACAAAAGAAGAGTTTAAGTATCATTACCCCAGTCTAACTAATACCGAGGTTTTTTATGATAAAACCCAACAACTGACAAATTATGCAAATAATACTTACCAAGTTGATAACAATACCAATGTTGTTAGAAGTGGGCATTCAATCCGTCACTCTAATAATTCTACAAGACCAACTTTAAGGTGATCATCTTTTGTGCATCAACATTTTGGTTGTAAATTATCTGATTCCAAATTTTCAAATATTTGGACTTGACTCGCCAAATATGGGTCAAGTATATTGTCTCTAGTGTTGGAAAGTGCCACGGTAGATTGGTAGATACATAGCTCTAGCATTCATCAAATATTACTGGCCGACCGGCTTGTTGGAAAGTAGCTTCTTAACTGTCTATTTTCTAGCTTAGCTTACAAGTTAAGTTGGAAAAAGTGTGCTAGTAGACTTTGCCATGGTCAAGTTAGGGTTGGAAATTGCCCATCCATACAGATTTAGTAGACTTTTTTCTTTCTTAACAATTATTTATTTAATTCACAAACACTGTAGTTTTAATATATATATATATATATATATATATATATATATATATATTGGACTTGACTTGATATATATGGGTCGACCACATTGTCTCATTGCACAGTGCCATGGTAAACTGGTAGATATATAGCTGGCATTCATAAATCATTACTGGCCGACAAGCTGTAAATAAGGGGTTGGTTTTGTTTCTATTTTCTAGCTTACCTTACAAGTTAAGTTGGAAAAAGTGCGCTCGTAGACTTTGGCAGGGTCAAGTTGGTGTTGGAAATTGCCATCTAAATAGCCTTAGGAGTCTGGATTTCAAATTAGAAATATTTTTTTTCAAAATATCAAACTTTTTCACCGACCCCTTTGCACCTAACAATTATTTGTCTAACCCACCAACTTTATCGCATTATTAAACAAATATATATATATATATATATATATATTTAACTTTCTAATAAACTTCTTAAGGAAAAATATAGAAAGTGAGGGTAGGAAAGGGACGGTAAGAGAGAAAGCACTCTCAACTTTCTATAATTGCTTATTTTCTCTTGTAGCCTTACACCTTTAATTATACTAATTATGTGGATTTTACTTGCCTTACAAGTAACACGAGTCTTCCAAATCTTATTGGAATCCTACTTCTAGATTTACAAAACCACACTCTTAAATAATATTAACTACGATACTTCCCCTTGATGTGTAAAGCTTAAGAAATAGTTGTATCAGGTTTTTTCGGATGATTGTTGGAGCCTTCAATTGGCATATAGAGAGTCACACATGCAATCTAGATCAAGGTTGCTTAAAGGAAACATAAACTCACAAAACTAACAATGGTATAACCACTGACGGAGACACATAAGGACTATAGTAGTCCAAGGCCTACCCTGACTTGAAAAAATAAGATTAGTAGTAACTTATTTTTATTGCTTTGCAACCCTTCTCAATACTTTTAAAAAAAATCAAGGGTAAAGTACAAAAAATTACCTCAACTATTGGGGTCACGACAGTTTCATACCTCATCTTTTAAAATTGACAATGTCATACCGCATCTTACGAATTTGTGACAATGTCATACCTCCGTCAATTTTTCTGTTAGTTTTTCTGTTAAATGCTGACGTGGCAAAAGACGGGGACCACTTTCTATTAAAAAATTAATAAAATATTATTAAAAACTAAAAAAATATTTAATATTTTTTAAATATTAAAATAAGAAATAAAAGTAAAATTAAAAAAAAAAAAGGATAAAGTACAAAAAACTACCTCAATTATTGGGGTCACGACAGTTTCATACCTCATCTTTTAAAATTGACAATGTCATACCGCATCTTACGAATTTATGACAATGTCATACCTCTGTCAATTTTTCTGTTAAGTGCTGACGTGGCTTGATTCGTGACCTACTTTCTATTAAAAAATTATTAAAAACTAAAAAACAATTATTTAATATTTTTTAAATATTAAAATAATAATAATAAAAAGCAGAAAAAAAAAAATTCTCCCACATCAAACTCCACTGTTCGCCTTTTGGAATTTGCATGAGCTTTGTATTTCTGACTTGTTTCTTGAAGGTGCTTATGCGTTATGCTATCGATTTGCATGACATTATCAACTAAACTTTCATCTTTGCCACTAATTCTTTTCGCGTTTGGTACAGGAGTAAGAACAACTGGTGCTAGTGGAATTAAGCCAAAGACAATGTAGAAATGACACATTTCGGTGCTGCAATTGACGGAATAATAGTAGGCGAACTCCACAATACATAACTTATGGTCCAATGACTTTAGATGCTAACCAACTAAGCAACGCAAAACGTCCCCTAATTAGCGATTCACAACTTCAGTTTGCCCATCAGGTTGAGGATGAGGTGTTGCTAAAATTCAATTGTGTATTAGCTAATTTCCACAGGCTCCTCAAAAAATGACTCAGAAATTTGGTGTTCCGATCAGAAACAATCGATCTTGGTAACTCATGAATTCGAGATACATCATGAAAGAATAACTCAGCAACTTTCGAAGCATCCATTGTCTTCTTGCAGACAATAAAGTGAGCCATCTTGGAAAATTGATCCATCACAACAAAAATTGAGTCTACACCGCACTGAGTACAAGGCAAACCTGAAACAAAATCCATGCTTATATCTACCCATGGTTGTGATGGAATGGGTAATGGCATATATAATCCAGCATTTGCCGCTTTGCCTTTAGAAGCTTGGCAGATTCGACATCGTTCTACAAAACGATATACATATTTGCGCATGGTAGGCCAGAAATAAGACAAAGAAATAAGCTCAGGGTCTTGTCCTTTCCAATGTGGCCTTCATTATGTAACTCTTGTATGATCCTCAATCTTAAACTAGACTCTGGTATGCAAAGTTGGTTCCCTTTAAAAAGAAACCCATCATGCAACACATATTATGTTATAGTTCCATGCTTAACATCTTTAACAAATGTAGAGAAGAAAGGGTCAGTTTTCAATAAATCCTTCAAAGAGTCAAACCCCAATACTTGAATTCTCATCGAGCCAAGTAAATACTTCCTCCGACTCAAAGCACCTGCAACTTGATTTTGCACACCGACTTTGTGCTTTAAGACGAATGTAAATTCTTGCAACTATGCTGCCCACTTAGCGTGCCACGTTGACAATTTTTCCTGATTGTTTATATGCTTTAAAGAGTCATGATCAGAGAACATAACAAACTCTTTGTAGATCAGATAGTGCCTCCAATACTGCAATGCTTGAACAATGGCATAGAATTCCAAGTTGTTTGTGGAATAATTCAATGTTGAATGATGAGTCCATATTATGCCATATATTTCACCATATTCTTAGTTATAGTTAGCAAAGTCCTGGTGGAACAATTATTACTTTATTTATAACAATAACTAAACTTTACTTTCTTTTTTTTTAGAACAAAAAAAAAAAAAAATGAACTCAAATGAAAGCAAGTGCTTCAATCTCACCCCCAAAAATGATGTTGGTGTGAATGTGCTAATAGTGAAAGGATAACTCATGAATTAGTGCCTAAACAACAATAAATAGAAAATACTCTACCGTGAGGTTCATCTCCACCATGTTCATTTGTTCTCACGTTTAAAATAATATATGAATATAAACTTAAAAAGAATGAAAAAATTTAGCATACTTAAAAATTAAAAATCTAAATATTTTACTTTCCCACCTCAAACTTAAATCACACATTGTTCTCAAGATGCGGAAAAAATAAAGAAAGAAAACAAAAATATTAAAACCTTAAAAACCGAAAAATAGCTAGCAAAGACAAAGAAAATAAACTAGGGAATAGAAATAGAAAAAAGAAACAATGAAAGAAAGTATAAAATAACAAAGGAAACATAAACAGAAATAAAAGAAAAGACAAGGAAACTGACACACCTGGGATTCGAAGTGGCGACGTGGTGACAAGAAACAGAGGCGCTGGAAAATATTGGAAAAAAGCGATATTTCAGTGCTCTGGAGTCTGGAGAGTTGGAAAACCTCTCCCAACTAGCGCCGCTTGAGAACCTCTCCCTGTAACCCTCGAGCTTAGAGCCGGTAAAGCCATCTCCTTCGTTTCCTCTCTCTCTTTTCATTTCTCATAGAACTGAAACCCTAGCTTCTGTCTTCAACCCATAACGTCAAAACATGAATCCATCTCCATCTCTGTCAAAAACGGAACCCAGCCATGGCGATCTTTGATTCTAGCCCAGATTGTCACCATCGTGCATTCCTCTGCGAAACCCGAGGTAAAGATCTCTCATTCTCTCTGCGATTATGGTCTCTACTTGGCGATATCTGAAATACAAATGCATCCAACCATTTTTCCCTTCCGTTTTCATGACGGAAGGTCAAATGAAAACGAAATTCTGACTGATGCATGTATGTTTTCTGTGTGTAGACTTGGGGATCCGAGTAAGGCCAGGGGGCATAGGAACTGCAAGGAGCAATGGCTCACAAATGAAGGTGCTGTACACACAGCAAAGATGGCTGCAAGAACTCGGATCTACAAAATGAAAGGTAAATCAAATCCCTCCACTGCGTTAAAATTAAGCATGGTTTAATATCTCTGAAAGTCATACAGATTTGTGAAATGTTTCTGTCATGCATTTATAGACCTAAAATTTCGTCAATGCTCATGTAATTTTCTGTGTGCTTGCATGCCTCCATGTGACAAATATTGAGACAAAAACTGTGCATGACACTGGATCTGTGACATGGCTTTGATGAATGTCCACCTCTGTGTTGCCTGGACCAACAATATTTTAATGAAATATGAGAGTGAGCGAGCGAAAGATAAATGTTGCTGAATGCTCAGATAAATGTTGATGAATGGATGACTGATGAATGCATATTTTTGTATCTTTATTGTTTTGTTTACAGAAGAGTAAGGTTTATGTCCCTCTTCTTTTTCATGTATTTTTTATTTCTTTTTCACGTATTACGAGAAGTTAGGTTTATGTCCCCTAATTATATGTAACTTATTTTATGTTATTAATAAAATTCTCCTCGTACCGTCAAGGTTTTCTGAAAAAATAAAATAAAAAAATCAATAAACTACTATATAACGCTTTCCATTTTCAACCAGGGATAAACCTCTCAACATAGAGCAGGAATTCCAATATAGGTTTGAAATTTGATGAATACTTTCCACAACTTTGTTTTTTAATTTTTATTTGTAATTCTTTCAGAATGTTCGTCCTGTAATGTTTGGCAAAGCCAGAATGTCATTGTTCAAGCATAATTCGATGCAAATAAGTTTGTTTGGCAAGCATTGATCAACTAGCCATTTGCACTGCATTTTTTATCTAACAAATACGGGAACGCTTTCACATAACATCAATACTATTACATGTTATACCACATATTAACAATAAGCTTCTATTCGCATATACCATTTGCTTGAAGTTTGTTTCTGATCCGACACATATGTGCCACAGCATTACAGATGTTCAGTCTTTCTCTAGGCAACTCCGCTGAGCAAGCAACACCAATTTCTAGAACAGAGATTAAACTTTCTATGATTAGGACGCAATTGCTTGCCCTCCCCTCATTAGGATGATTGCTCTCTTGAACAAGAACGGGATCCAAAACCTCCTCCACTTGCTCAGGCAGAGCTGCCTTCACAAAGCTATAAAGGTTTGAAGTTCCTTCAAACATGTCATCGGTCGGTCTTTTACCTGTAAATATTTCCAACAGGAGGATGCCAAAGCTGTACACATCACCTTGTGTCCACACTTCATGTCCCATGCCATATTCTGCATTCCACAATTCAGAACATTAGATTCTAATTTTCTAGTGAAATGCTAAAAGCTCATTTCATGTTTGAAAATTTTAAAATAAATACTGAACAATTTTAAAATACTAGCTAGGGAAAAATAAACCACCAAGTGTATTTACCTGGAGGAGCATAACCAATAGTTCCCTTGATCCCTAAAGAGCTTGATTGATTTCCCGAAGAATTTTCAGCAGCTTTTGGTAGGAACCTCACCAACCCGAAGTCACCTACATGTGCAACCATGTCCTCATTGAGAAGAATATTGCTGGGTTTGAGGTCGCAATGAACTATTGGCGTCTCACAATGATGATGGAGATAATCCAATGCCGTAGCAACATCAATAACAATATTCAACCTCTGAGAAATTGTTAAGCTCCTTGGCCTCTCATTTGTCTCACCAATTGTATGAATTGGATATAGCCATTCCTCCAAGCTCCCGTTAACCATGAACTCATAAATTAAGGCCTTGAAGTCGTGACCGCGATAATCAAAACCAGAACATGCTGAGAGTACTTGACAAGATTACGGTGTCTAATATTTCTGAAAGCCTCGCACTCAGCAATAAAACTTTTGTAAGCTCCGCGACGAACGAGGTTGAGTACCTTGATGGCAACTGTAGTTTCACCTTGCTCAAATACTCCTTTATAAACGGACCCAAAACTGCCCATACCGACCAAGTTGGTTGAGGAGAATCCATTTGTTGCCTTTAGAAGACTTTGGTAAGACACCTGGGGAAATTTGTCCGAATCAGTTGCAGCTTGACCCTTTTTGTCCCTCCGTGAGCAATAAAGGTACAAAAAGGTTAGTGCAAAAATGACTCCAAGAATCCCACAAACGAGGGAGAGAACCAATTTCATGGTTAAGCTCAATCCTTTCTTTTTTGCATGCTGGAGTTTGCATTTTGGCAAATGAAACTCAGGTATGCCCCCACAAAGCTTGCTATTTCCTTCAACTGATGTCGCCGTTGCATTCTTGAACACTCCTTTGATTGGCAACATGCCCTCAAAATTGTTATAAGATAGATTCAGAGATTCCAAAAATACAAAACCTTCTAAGAATTCTGGAATGGTGCCTGACAAGCTGTTGTGAGAAAGGTACAATTTTGAAAGACCTCTTAGTGAACTCAAAGTTGATGGAATTGTCCCATTGAAGAAATTTCCATGCATGTCTAGGTACTCTAATTTTATACAACTAACAAGACTAGCCGGAATTTTACGGAATAACATGTTATCAGAGATATCTAAATACTCTAGATTTATTAAAATTCCTATGTTCTCTGGCTGGGAGCCTATAAACTGATTTTGTCCTAAACTCAAATCATACAAGTTCAGCAGACCAAAGATTTCTTGCGATATGATACCGCTGAAATTGTTGGCACCAAGATGTAAGATCCTCAAATTCTGACACTCTGCTAAACTCGGCGGGATACTGCCTTGAAGTTTGTTGCCTGCTAAGCTTAACACATTTAATTGACTTAAATTTCTGAAAGAGGATGGAAGATTGCCAGAGAGAGAGTTCCCATCAAAAGTTAATTGATATAACTTGTGCAGCTTTCCCAGACCAGGGGGAATGTGACCTGAAATTTGGTTCTCGTCCATCCCCAAAAGCTCTAAGTTAGCCAGATTTACAATCTCATTCGGGATACTTCCTAATATTTTATTTTGAGCTATAATGAAGATTTGAAGAGAAGAAGACAGGTTTCCTATGCACTGAGGTAACGTGCCCCAAAAATTGTTGGTAAACATTTGGAGAATTTCTAAATGGGTGGCGTTGGTCAAATCGCAGAGAAAGGTCAAGTCATCAATTCCCCCACTTCCGAGATGGTTGTCAGCAAGGATTAACCACTCAAGCTTATGCAAATTCGTCAATGGAGGGACTTTTCCATGCAGGTGGTTACCTCCGATCCCCAATCTAAATAGATTTGAGGCATTTGATAATGAAACGGGAATAGATCCACTGAATTGGTTACTGGAAATAAAAAATGTTTGGAGACTCGGAAAGACCATACCTAAGTTTGAGGGTAGACTCCCTTGGATTTCATTCTCTCCCATATAAAGGTCTATGAGAGAAGAGAGATTAAAGATTGAGGGAGGAAGCATACCCGAAAACCTATTTACAGCAAAAGCAAGAAAGCTAAGATTGGTCATTCGGCCAGTGCCACTCAAGTTATTAGAAGATGCGGAGAACCCTTCAAGAGATGATAAATTGCTAAAAGGAGGGACTCCCCCTGTAAAGTGGTTATAGTGGATGTGAAAAAATCTCAACTTTGACAAGAGGCCAAGCTCCTTTGGAATCTTTCCCATCAGATCATTGAAACCAATACCGAGCGTGAGGAGCTGAGAGCAACGCGACAAGTTAGTGGGAATTTCTCCACTCAGCGAATTGTTATTTAACCGTAGTTGTTGCAATCTGTGCAGGCGGCTGAATTCTGGAGGAATTTCATGGCCTAAGCTGTTGTTTTGGAGATCAATGACTCTCAAAAAACTCAAGTTCCCAACATGCGGCGACCACATGTAACGCCATGCCAAGAGCAAAAGTGGATGGTTTCGTTCCATGAAGTCAGGACTTTAAAAGGGTCATGAGTTATGCTAGCCTTGATTTCAAGCAAAGCGAGTCTATCTGTCTCATTTCCCGGAAGGGCGAAACAAGGAAGGCAACAGTGAAGAATGAAAGCATGCATAAAAAAGGATGACAAAAACACTGCAGAAATGGAGTTGTAAAACCCCATCCCCATGATGATGATATTTGTTTTGTGCGGAAGTCAAAACTCAATTTATAAAAGAGTATAGCAGGACTGATTGTTTGTCTAGCAGCCTTAGCATAATCCAATTTATAATCATAACCGAGTGCTCCGTACGCGTGCAGTGGACCTCCAGCCACCGACATCGGAGTCGATGAGGGATAGTTTGCATTGACCTGACCAAAAAAATATCTCTATTTTCTTTTTAACTTAATTATACGAATAAATTCAATTTACATCTAATTTTGTGAACTAATATTAGGAATATTTCACTTTTTTTTTAAAATTATTGTATTCATTCTTCTTTATTTTTTATTTCAACGAACGATATTATCTACAATAAGGGGTGTAGAATGGGTTAAACCTTACAATGTGTTATTAATAATATGGTGAAAATTCACCTTTGGTGAAAATTGAACCAAAGACCTCTCACTTCCAGTGAAGAGGAATATCACTAGACTGTAATAATAAGTGGCGTATTCATTCTTTAACTTAAAACAAATGAAAAAAAAAATAGAGATATTGGTTTTGTGTGAAATTTTCTCTTTGATTATAAACCAAATGACACAGTGTCTTGCTTGATTTTATTTTTTATTTTTTTTATAGGACAAAGTGACTTGCTTGATGAATGTGTTTTTGTTGAGAAATTTTTATGGATACCAAAAATACAAGTTATATGGTGTATTATTTTGTGTGTTATAATAAAAGTAAGCGACAATGTTGACGTATGTTACTTTTTATGTATATTAATAAAATAACAAATTTATGTTTTATATTTGAGTGAAATAATAATATCACATAATCATGCTTGGATACATAAAAAAATTGCTCATTCTTGTTCATCGATAGTATGCCAAAAAAAGAAAAAAAAAAGTATTTATCTTTGGTTTTGTACAATGACAATTGCTAATTTATGTGTAGTGTTGTGTCATTTATTTATGCCAACAAATAGTGTAGGTCTTCTGACTCCTCTCGTTCCGGATTGATGCGTGTTTGCGTCACGTGATTGGATTGAGTATATACACAAAAGAATACGGGTAATGCTAAGAAGAATAAATTTATAAATAAAATTTACAAACTAAATGATGTGTCACTAGTAAGAATCAACACATTTATCAAAGTTTAAGTCATAATTCAATTATCAATTTTCATGTTATTTAGTTTACAAGATTTTGTCTGCAAATTTAATTTTCCTAACATTATCTAAAGAACAAGTAATGGAAACTTTACCACACTAGTAGAGAAAAGAAAAGGAACAATTACGGTCACTTCATACCATTAGTGTATAATTTAGTAGTAATTTTATAGGTTTGTAAGTAAGATTTCTTAAATGAAATCCATCTTGAAGGGGATCAGCTTTTGTGCATCAACATTTGGTTGTAAATAATCTGATTCTAGATTATGGAATATTTGGACTTGACTTGGCATATATGGGTCAACTATATTGTCTCTAGTATTGGACAGTGCCGTGGAAGACTGGTGGATACAGCTGGCATTCATCAA